CCGAGCTGAATGCGCACTTTCGTCTGGTTTGGTCTGCCGCGGTTTCCGTTGTAGCCAGATTGTTATTTGTAGAACTGAGATGAGTTTTATATTATCAATCTGGGATGGCTGCCGTTCAGTCTGTCCATGAAAAGGAGGGACATATAGTACAATACTTAGAGCTGATTGGATGATGTGCCAGCTAGTATCCGCCTTCCAAAATTAATTTCCACCAATCGTAGCAGTGAATCATGGCATTTTCAGATGTGCGCCAGGAATGACAGGTGGGAAGTGTTTACTGAAATGTAGACCGTTGTGAGTAATAATCTTTTTGCATCGATGCATCGATCCAACAGCCGATGATCCGATGCATCAACACGTCCACAAGAGTATCAATTCATGTTTTTTCCCCTCTGGTCTATTTTTATCCACTTGCTCCTGGACGTAATTCTGACTCCCGTGCTGCGGTGGCGCTAAACCTATTTTGCCCTCCTACATCGCTTCCTTTAGCCACTATCCTCTTTCCGCTTGCAGTATGTTTTGATGCAAGGCCTTTCAGAATCTTTAACAGAGAGGCATTATTATCATTTTTCAGTAAATGAGGTTTCCATAGACCTAGGTGGAGGACAACTTTGCTACTTCTGTTATTTGCTGTTTCTGAAATAAAACGCACAATGATATTACAGCTTGCATTGATTTATATAAAAATTTGAAACATTGTCTGTCTAGTCTGTAAGGTTAAAAAAAACAAAAAAAACTATTGAATCGTATTGTGGTATATTCTTGAGTATTGAAAATAATCGAATTGTTGGGTCAGGAATCGAATCGCCATGATGGGTTGGATTTATACCTCTATAAGCCAAGGCCCTTCTGATTGTTGTCATTCCTATATGTCCCGCCCCCCAAAAAACACTGCTGGCATGTCATTGGTCCAACTCACTGGTTGTAACGAGAGACCTTTATTAGCGGGAGTCTTTAAAGATGGATTCGTTGTGAGACTGAAAACTTGGTTCTTGTGACAATCCAGCTTGCAGCGCAAGGTTAAGATGCATTAACCTCGATACAGAAATGTTTCAGAGCAATGCAGCGCAGTGACATGTATGATGTCATCGTGTCAACCAGTAACCGAAAGGCTGAAGCAAAACAAACATGGCTGTACTAGCTTTAGCTGAAACATGTCTATTTCTTTTTTGGAAAAAAAAAAAAGAATAAAAGATGCAAGTTGTGCCTTTGTTGATGTGAAACGTTTTTGCACGTTTTGTCCGACCAGATTTGGAAAAATTTTGATTTATCATTTAACTCTGCTGTTTGTTAAACAAATCTAAAGCTGCAGAGGGATCCTGTTGTTACTGGCATTTCTGCTGT